TTCTTTACGTAAGCCGTGTACAAATACAAAGTTTATAGTAATGTTGTCGGGTTTAAAATAATCGGGTTGTAAACGGCAATATACCCTATATCTAACAAACATTTCTTAATAATGTTAATATAAAGTACCATGCTGCGACATCCGACAGTTCAAGCTAAGAATGTTTTTCTTCGTTGACTCTGTATACAATATTTTCGGATTATTTTTTACGGTTTTTTAAGACAATATTTGATGCTGAATATTTTGTATTTATGATATATTAATAGTAAAGATTATTAAAAATATAATTAATATATCCTTAATAATCCTTACTATTAGGGGAGACCGGGGCAACTTCGGCATACGGGGCAAGTTTGTCAAGCGCTTTTTTTAAAAAACAAATTAAAAGGAGACTTTGGTTATAGGTTAGGAAGTTGAGTTTTATTGGTGGCTTGTTGAGTGTAGTGTTTTTATTGTTCTCCAACAAGCGTAGTTGAATTATCAAGCAAATTTTCATTTTCGTTCAATTCCATATAATATTTTTTTTCCATTTATATTGAATTGGCAGGTTTTGTTATAATTCCATGATAACGAAAGTTACTTTTCCTGTTAGAAGGATGTAACTTCAACTTATTCACGTGGCCAGATCGTGGCTTGGCATTCTGTTCTCAGGGTTGTACTTAATGTTTCGAAATCATGACTAGCGGGGTAAGATCGGCAACATAAAGCCACATTAGAAGCAAAGGATAAAAATCAAACAGATGATAAATGAAAACATGTTTGCATTTGTTATTCATGTATATATGTCTTTGAACTTGCATTTCGTTGTAATAATATTAAATGGGTGTTGGATTTGTATTTCTTTGTTTTAATAGTGAATTCCAACTTATACATTGTTAATAACATAATTTTATATACGTGCCTATCTTGCCCCATTACTGTTGCCCCTATACCAGGGGCAACTTTAATAAAAATAATTAAAATAATTACAACTTTACAAAAAGAGAGAAGTTGCCGATCTTGCCCCTATACCCGGGGCAACTTCGTCAATTTCTCTCTTCTTGTAAAGTTGTAATTATTTTAATTATTTTTATTTCCAAACTGATTTTAACCAGTTCTATAGTAAGGTAACATTCCAATAGACAATATGCAAAGCTTTTTTTCAGTTTACAGCAGTATTTATTACACAAAATTTAAGTAAAGCTTAACATGCCGATCTTGCCCCGGTCTCCCCTATATATCTATATCTATAAATGAAATGTTTGTTCGTCATACATTTCTATACCGTTCGACCAACTGCTAGATAATGGCGTTACTCATTACTCATTGAATGTCTATATATCAATTAACTTCCGTTTACATTGTATTTGCTAGATTTACATATAGGTCCGTCTGTTGACAAAACAATAAATAAATGGTAATTCTTACCTCGTTAATAACACATTGGCGGTTTTCGGATTGCTGGACTGTAATTTGAAAACATTCTAGACACATAGATTTCCACTGTTGTCTGATTCTGTCTCTCCTTCCTTAATCTATTAAAATTTATTTAAATTGAGTATTAATCATACGGTGTTGCTGCAGGGATGGAATTAAGATCTGCGATACTGTAAGTGAAATGGAGTTCTGCACACATATCTCAGGTGATATTATGTTGCGCGTGTCTGTCTTGCGTGCAGTTTGCTTGTGGCACGGATCCCTACGATGCGGCAACTGTAAATACAAGTAAAAATCTTTCAGTACTTGTTGTTTGTCGATCGTTGTACATTCAGTGATATTCTATATGCGATGGTGTTCCGGCACCGCAACACCATATATTTAAAAATCAAATGTGTGCAACAGGCTTTACATTTACTTAAAAAATATAATTTTTTGTTACTAATAGATGATATTCTTTTTGCAGTTTTTTAATAAATTCAACGTTCTTTATGACACGGGTCGAAGAACGAGAACGTTATTCTTTTAGTCTCGAATATAAAAGAAAATTCGTTATTGCTATTATTTATAAAATACGCTCTTCATGTAAATATTCGAGATAAAATTTTGAAATAATTAAATTTTATCATTTTACTTTCTGGTTTCTTGATTAGTATTCAGTAGTATTATCCGCTCGGCATATAGAAATGTTCAATATTAATTTTTTGTTTTGTCAATTACTACAAACACATTTGTACAGTGTAGAAAAGTGTACATCTGTGTTCGTAGACGTACTCAAATGGCCGGAAGGCCGAGCAGCTAAGGTATCAGCTTACTACTCTGTGAGCCTCGCAATATGATTTGAAAGTGTCGAAAAACTGCAGGAGTTTTTCGGGAGTGTCCATCCGGATACGTGATACTGTTGCACACTTGAAAACCCGGGTATTCGCCACGAGTTAATAGTCATTAGATAGGCAGTTAATTAAAAGTCAAAAAATGCATTTAGCACTCATATCGTTTCTCTTCAATTGTTATACAGTTGTCACATATTAAACTGTAGAAAACAAAAGTACAAATAAATTCCCGATATCAACAATAAAGTTATTAAAATTCTTGCTGATAATCCTGGCGTTGCTCAGGCAAAAAGTAACGATAGCGAAGATTAAGATTATTACATTACAGCCTATCTTACCTGTTTTCACAGAATGCAAGAATTAGGTCCCCCTGTTTCCAGACTGATTAAAAAAATTTTAGATGGATCTAAATACACGTAAGTCTTGCACGTTTCTTTCTCTTAACATTTCCATTGTTATTACTTCAATTGTTACTTACACTTTCGTCGTTAACAATTTAGTTGTTAACACTTCCATTGTTGAAGCCTTAATCCTGTCTCTCTCTCGGGTGGGGGGGGGGAATTTCGTATCAAATTAAAAGAAATTTAATTGTTTCCATTGTTAACACTTCCCTTGTTAAGGAATACACTTCTTTCATTTCTTGTGTACCCTACTAAATGTGGCAGCCTAGTAAAACGCAGTTAAAAACGCAAAAAAACCGCATCTAAACTAGTACAATAGAAGCCGAGTTCTTCAGTGTAAGCCTTAATCTTCTCCCTCTCTCCCGTGGGGGAATTTCGAAAAAGCGCTAGAACAAATCCTTCCTCTCGTTTCTCCAGTATTATCCGATTGACCGAGAACGCAAATTTTACTGAATTTCGTAATCTTTCGTTTATCTGACGCCATTTTAAGAACGCTTATTCAACGTCATCGGTTATATTAAATATGCGTGTTACAGTTTAGTTACGTAAACGTTAATTAGTATATTAAATAAGCAAATTTTATGAATTCACTTGACCGATAGAAAATATCATGTATGTATTTTACACGAAACAATCAAATATAGATCTTTCTATATTCAAACTGAGGAAAAGATCGTTTATTTCAAGAAATGTAACTGTTTTTATATAAAAAAAAATCTACCAAATAGCATATATATATATATATATATTATATACCGAATAGTATTATATAACTTTTTCTATGCCAAATATTAATATAAATTCAAATTGTATTTGAACTATTACAACATTATACATAGACAATGATAAAACAAAAGAACAATTAGAAGTTACATTTATTTATACTTACGATATCTACATCAACCTGTAAGAACCATGGTATTAACGATTTATTTTCAATTACTTTTGTCTTATTGTATATTTTACAGTAAGACATACTTGAACCTTTGCACTGAAACATTTAAAAACTGCAGTGAATTACTACACCTGGCTTGTATAAAGAAAGACAAAATAATAGGAAAAACAGCTTGATTGTATAAAGGGGCCCATACACCTTAAGTAAATCTTTTGAGGATTTATCGTGCATGCCAGACCTTGAGTAATTCCTGTTAGTGTGTGGGGGGAAATTTAACAGTTTTGGCGGAATGTACCGACCACCGGAGTAGAATAGAAAAGTCATTTGATTTTCCTGGCACAGTGTCAGACTGCACAGGCGGCCTTAACGTGTGTGTCGTTCAGTTGTAAGACCGCTGAGTAGTTAGAACGATGTCTCGTGAATGTTTGGAAGAATTATTTTCTATAACCTTATTAACTTTTATTATTTATAACCTAAAAAATTAATTTTTCAGGTTATAAATTATTTTCGGATTAAAAATTTCTCGAGCAAATTAAAATTATAAATATTTTTAATAATTAGAAAACTTCTCAATTCATTTCTTCCGTTATCATGAAACATCTCGATACTTTATATCATTTTCTTTTACATTTTAAAAAATTTATCGTTTTAATATCCAAGTAAATTAAAACACGACAACTTAAAATAAGGCAAAGTTTAATAAATTCTTTTTAATTATTAAATTATTAAATTAATTTGCGATAATAATGTTTACAATTTGTACTAATATCGGATGTACTTGAGAATTATTAATATATATATATTCATCTATAAAATTTAATCCATGAATTTTTTTGGTAGTAAAATCGACTTGCCATTGATCTTTCGCTGATATTGATAATTGATGCTTTTTAACAGAATCCATAGCCCAAGATTTCTCTTGAAAAATTACTTTTGTGATCTGAAATAATTCCATTAAAAATTATTCGTATGAAAAATTAATTTTGTGATCAGTGCTACCCAAACCTGCTACTACTATTTACACCATACACGTCTACGCATATGTTTTTTCCCGCGAGTTTTAATAGAATTTGTTTCCAAAAAATATCCAAGAACAGCCAGTATGTCATCAGATGCCATGCCGACTGACTGACAATGAAGTGACCTCTAAACCAACACTTGGCAAGTGAGAAGGGGTAAACACCCGAAACACAAATGTAGCACGGCGTACTAACTAAATAAAGATGGAAAACTTGCCATGTGTTGGTTAAGAGGTCACTTCATTGTGCCAGTATACAATATATAAATAACAACACGATTTCGACAGCAACAAGTAATATTAGAAAATAGAAACGGCAGTTGACATTGAAATAATTACAATTAAAAACATGATTAATTAAACTACTACAAACTTCTACTTTATTTCAGATGGTTAACGTCGAAGAGTCATTTGAAACATAATTGGATATACAGAAACATTATCTTTCAATAATTTGATAATGAAAAAAGACCCAATCATTAAGTGTCATATCTCTGTTTTCACAGTCAAATCCGATCAGCGATTTATATAAATTGCGTGCAATAACTTTTGTTTGTAGTCAGTTTCTTATTTTGTTGCAAGTTGTCTAACATGGAGAAAACGAAGATCCTGCTGTTGATCTGTCTGATTTACTTCAATGGTAAGTTTGTATGACGTTAATGTTCGATTTATGTAAAATAGTAGACCGAATCTGACACGCCTCATTCGTAGAATTTCCTTCCGTAACCAGTCAACAGATGTGTACTCGAGCCGAAGTGAGGAATGAATGCCATAATGATTGCATAATATTTAGAAGACCCATCTGTATAAAAATTCCTCGATGTGCCTGTCCGAATCTTCCTACCAAGGGAGGTTTACACAAGGAAAGACAATAAATGAACTCTACAATTCCTCCCCATATCAATTTCTTGTTCGCATTCGTTTTCCAATTGTTGTACTCCGCAATCGAATTTGATCTTTTTCTGTTTTAATTTAAGATTTAACTTTTTTGCTTCTTTAATTTTGTGTAAATATATTCCTTGCCGGAAGGCATGGCAGTGCAACAATTCTTATTAAATAAATAAACGAAATTTCTTTTTAAAAGTTCTAAACTTACTTGCGATTAACACGAAACTGTTTAATTGCATTAAATTGTTCTTTAACAAACACTTTTTTACGTATTTTCACTCATCATTTTAAGGAGAATTTGAATAAACGAAGGTTCTGCCAATAAGCTCTGATATATGTAAATATGATTTCATGCCATTACTAGACTCCTATAGAAACTAGTCAATTAGCATATAAGGAATAAGAAAGCAGTAAGATAAAATCTTGCATTACCGAAATTAACAGCTAATAAAAAGGTTTTACATATGATTGAAGCGATGTAAAAGTAATATATTCACGAACTCTGTTACTTCATTCATATGTCAGGCCCGAACCTCTAGTTTTTATTGTATTCTCTTTATCCTAATAAAACATCGATGTAAAAACTATTTCGTTTGTTTCGAAAGCGCAAAAACAGAGAAACTGTGTTGTTGAGAAAAAGACAATTCGGTATGTCGAATGTGTGAAATAAAGAAATCGTAAATAAGAAATCTCGACAGGAAAAAATTATAGCGACAAATTGCAGAGTGAAACCTGTTAGTCACAGTTGCATGCTTCACATCTTTCCCCTAATTACGGGTTACCACTCTAGGAGAAACCGCAATTAAGCACTTTAGAGAGTAACAGATCACATGGAAGTAAAGGAAGATGTCCATCTTTTCTGATCCAAATTCAAACCCTAGCAACCCCTAACCTAACCTAATCTATAGAAACAGAGCAGAAACCAATAGACTGAATCAATAAAATATTGGTTTGGGATCAGCAATAGTTTAAAAAAAACGTTTTTCCAACTGCAAATCCTCGTTGTTGCAAATCCATCACCATCCGAATAACACGGAAGAACGTTTTGAGAAGCTTTTAAAATCACTCTTCGGGAGCGTCAGTTCTGTCCATATTAGTCGTTGTCCTAGTCCATTATTCTTGTAATAGTTAAAAGTTAGTGTTTTCGATTAGTACTATGTTTTGTTATTCTGTGCTGTATTTACTCTTTCCTTTCTTAGGTTATTCATTTTCGGTTAGGGCTTGCTAGCTTAGGTTTGTATTTAATTTTATTAATTGGCCACTATTAACAGCCACTTGGCATACCTCTACTTCTACTAGCTTTTACGTGACTGCACTATAAATTGGTGTATACCACAACTCGGGTATTTTTTATACTGTGCGGTGGACTACGACCTTCCAGCCTGAAAATTTCACGCCAACATTAAACGTAGAAAGAGCAGTAACGCCATTCAGAGGCATCATTTTTTTTCTCTTCCACCTCCCTTCTTTCTTTACTCTTTTCCCCTTTTATTCTGCCGGCTAAGTACTTTGTCATTCGTAACGTATGATTCTCTTTCAGTACCACTGGTATCTTACCGGTACATCTGGGGAAAATGCACATTTTCCTTTAATCACAGAAAACAAGGTAATCGATACAGCTATCATTGGACTTCGTATTTGTTTGTTCAGTGGAAAGAGTTTCTACTAGGCTATCGACCTTTATTATACAATAAACAAGAATAAAAATGTAATTTTATAATGTTTTTTTAAATAACGAAATTAGATAACTGGTATGATATTAAAATGTGTTATTGTATAAAAGTAATATAAATAACGCGACAGACTCGTGACACTATAAATAACTTTGTGTTTACAACTCATCAATAAATCGATAATGCTTTAAATTGAAGAAAAGAAAAGAGTTTATTGCATGAATTTAAATATATCAGTTATAATATTAAAAATACTTAAATGTTATTACAGTATATCAAATACAAATTAAAATTAATGCAAGATTTTGTCGCAGAACGATGTTTATTCACTATTCATCGATTGAGAATGTCGTGTATTCGTTTGAAAGAATTACAGTTTGTCATACTTTAGTTTCTTGAACATTAACAAATTTAACAGGACAACGACAAGGCGGATTTACACTTCTACAAATTGGTACTTTACTATCCAAGCAATACGGTCTGCAAATTCCACGTACTTCTGCATCCGTACACTTTCTATAATCACTGATAACGATCGGAAGAACTAAAAAATAAATGAATTCAGTCGATAAGAGATTAGTTGAAGTAATTACAGTAATAAATGACACTCACCTGCGATACAAATCAAGTGGATCAACAGCAAAACCTTTGTCTTCTGCATATTATAACTTCACTGAAGCGACTGGCAGAGAGATTAATTAATGACTGACGATGTGTACTAAAATATTTTATCTGTCCTTTTATACTTTTTTCCGAGTTAAAAATATTTAGATTATTTAAAAAACGAAATACTAGACTATATTATTTGCATTAGAAAACATGTAATTAGAATCTTGCAAAACATTTTAAAGGTTAATTACTAAAGTAGTTAAATTTCAGGATATTAATTGATACGATGAAAACAATTTGATTCGAAATAATGTAATTATACTCTAAATTTGTTTTTCTCGGCTCTTTTATCCGTCGATATTACTGTTTGTTTTTACTCGGGTACGGCAAGTTTATGGTGGGGTCGACCGGATTTACTTCGGAAATTCTTAACGAATTCTATTGCTAAGACAACTTTGTGAGATTTCGAGATCCTTAGAATATATATCCATGTAATATATTGCTTATTTGCAAATTGGCAAATAAATATTAGGGGAAATTCGGATAAATATCGTATGGTAACTTTACTCTATTAGGCTACTTTCGTGGAAATTATTTCGTTGCTTAGAAGCGTAAATGCAAAAAACTTATAGATTTAAATACCATTAATGTCATATTTGTGACTATAGAGACATTTTATATTTGAATTATAAGTCACTTAATGTAATATGGAAGAATACGTTATTAAAGCTGCAAACAATATCTACTTAGAAGCATCAGTGGCACACCATCCATTTCTGCCGAATAGTCTGCCATTAATGCCGAATGGTCTGCCATTATTTCACTTATGAATAAGTAAAATACGCCGTACGTAAAACCCATTTATACGCTTTTAACATTTGTATTCACGTGACCTTCGTTAGTAAAATATTAGGAGGATTTTGCTTCAAAATTTTATTAAAAACATGGCTCTACTAAAAGCTCTTCATCCTACTTTAGAGTATTGAGAATTATGGAAATTTACATCCACCGACAAACTAATGTCTTATGGTTATGGAGGACAATGTTATTATTGTACGGATATTTTTTATTTACGACAATAATTTTATTGTTTATTCCCATCGAAGCGACGAAATACTTCACTAAATTTTATTAAATCCGGGAATTCGAAATTGCAGAATTTTACAAACAGTAAAGTGTTGTTTGGTGTTTGTCGTTCATTTTCTATTTTTACCGCGTGCATGAACTATGGCCCGGTTCTTATTAACAGCATCAAAAGAATCGACGATAAAATCAAACGCGCGAAGAATATGATGACAGATTTCCTCAGTTACGTCGATCTGATATTTCCTTTGTTAATTTGGGGATGATTTTGTGTTTTGTCGTTGCTTACAAAGGTCTCACAGGAACAAAGGAACATAAGTAAAGAACACCTCAACCATCTCAGATTCGCTAACGATATCGTCCTGATATCTAAAGATTCTGAGGAACTACAAGAAGTAATTTGTGATTTAAACGCAGATAGTAATGAAATTGGCCTTAAAATGAACTTGGCGATAATAAAAATTAAATTCAAAAACGAGTAGACAATCAAGACATAATAATAAATGACACTACACTAAAAACAATAGATGAGTATATATATCTGGGAGAAGTAATACAGTAGAACCTCGAAAACTCGGCCTAATGTGGACCGAAGGGTGGCCGAGTTTGTGAAAATGCCGGGTTATCGGGAATGGGGTTAAAAAAAATAAGTACGAGTGTTTCCTCAGAAAATACTGTACTGTACTTGTATGTATTGTTTACTTGAGAATATAACAGAGAATAAACTGCCCAAATACCCTTAAACAAAGGAAAAGTACGTCCTTTATGAAGGCATAGAGCCTTTACTACATGAAAATGAAAATTAATGAATACACTGTGTACAGTAATTTACCTGATAAGACAGACCTCAGAAAAATACTTTATGAGAGCTTTTATACTTTTATAAAGCTGTCTATAATGAAAATTAATTAACTAAGGATTTTTTTGCCCTGCCAGGGTGTGGCCGAGTTATCCGGAGTGCCGGGTTATCGAGAGCCGAGTTTTCGAGGTTCTACTGTACCCAAATCTGGCTCACTACTTCCAGAAGTCAACAGGACAATGAAACTGGTATGGTCTAATATGCTAGTTTACCGTAATCTTCAAGTTTGAATGCCAATCCACCTGAAGAAGTTTACAATTTATCATTTTAAATTATGTTTCCGAATCTTTATGCTAATCTGGGGATATTGAAAGAAACTACGCTAACACATAGACACACATATCCACGGAATTTTTCTCGTTCTTTTATCATCATGAGTTCGGGAGGTCTCAAAACATAGAGATTTGTGTGAGAAGCCAGAGACGTAGAACTATGTCTATTCCGCTTACTTGACACGCGATCGCAAGATCGGCTCACTAAAACTTTTTCTAGGAGGGCTTTATATAATGTTAAAAGAAGGATCTAGCGGATGAATCCTAGATCTCGTTAGGATCCTTGACACCAGTTAATCAGTTATTTTACACGCGGATTAACACGAGTTATCCTTAACTTGTGAATAGGAGGAGCGAAGGAAATCTAAATACAATTGAATATGAATAACCAATATTAACAGTTTAATTGAAATGTAGCCTAGCTTTTGGTTCTTTGATATATTTGTTTCTATTTTGTATTGTACTTGTTCTGCTTATGATTTTTTTATATTCCACACTGAATATGTTTTCCTTTATATATTGTGGAGTACAAGTTGACCCCCCTATAATACTGTTGATAATTTCGTTTTATAAGAATTCCATGTTGTACGAATCACTTAGATTTTTCAAATACGTGTGCCGAGCTGTGAATGGCTCAGGTATTTGTAAATTCTATGTGACTCGTACAACATGGAATTCTTATAAAACGGAATTATCAACAGTGTTATAGGGGGGGTCGACTTGTATTTGAATTGTAGTTTATTACTTTTTGGATTTTGCTTGGTTTTTGATATTGTTTAAATTCTAGTATTTCTTTTCTTCGTTTTATCACTATATCAAGGTAGTTTGTTTCTGTATTTGTTTCGTTTTCTATCTTAAATTTAGTTTCTTTATTTAGTTTATTTATCTTGTATTCTATTTCCTCTATTCTTACCATTGTTTTGTCGTATAAAGTAATTATGTCGTCTACATATCTTTTATAAAATTTTATGCCTGTGATATTGATTTCTTGGTCTATGACTTTATGTATATCATGACAAGCTCTGCCAATTTCGGACCTATAACTGATCCCATGCTAATTCCTACTTTTTGTGTATCAAATTTACCATTTGTGATGAAATAATTACTCCTGTTAGCGAATTCTATTAGGNTGGATTCAATACAAGAAATGCCATTTATTTTATGTTTAATAATATTATTTGCAATGTTGTCTAAAATTAACGCTATCAATATACTACAAGTATTTCAAGCGAAAATAATTATTCTTGACTCAGCTTTTAAAACACTGTAATTGATACTGTTATTGTACAAATAGAAGATAGATTTAAAAATATACCAAATATTATTACTGATTTCAAATTAATCACTGATATAAAAACATTAGAAAAACATGAATTAGAAAAATGTTCCAAAAGCTTTGTAAAGTTTTATAACAAAGATGTAGATGAAAACTTAATCCAGGGATTTGATTTTGAATGAAAGGGATGTAAATAACGCGCAAGACATAATGCAATACATTCTAAATAATAATTATAATGAGTTATTTCTAAATGTATTAACTGTGTTAAAACTTTTCTTCACGTTGCCAGTTACTATAGCAAGTGCTGAGCGCTCTTTCAGAAAATTAAAATTAATAAAGAATTATCTTCGATCAAGCAAAAACAAAATCACGCTTTATATAAACACGCATTAGTAATATATGTTATTCATTAGATCTTCAAGTTATATTTCAATCATCAAATTAACAACAATCTATTCACATACAGTATATACTCTATACTATAGAGTATATAATCTGTATGTAACACGTAGACGACATTCGTGTTAAAACTTGTCAATTTAAAAATATATATTACATTTACTTAGTTGTTGCGATAATGATATAGCGCATCTATTTTACACTATATCAGTACTGAGGCAGGTAGTACAGTACAGTACAGTAGATAGCGCTTGCGTGGAATCGAAAGTGTTACTCTGTGAAAAGTCTATACAAGTAAGTAAGTATACAAGTATGTATTTTCCACATCTACCAACTCGTGTTTTCTTTCATTTCTGAATGGTAGTTCTAATAAATGTTCTTCAGTAACCGAGTTAATAAAATCACTAAACTCTGGTAGTTCGTGTGTCATGGGATTCGGCATGGCCAATGGTTACTAACTTCACATGGCCAGCCCGGCCACGTAGAGTTTTTTGAGTTTCCTTCACGTTAGTAACATCTAGAATCCAGCTTTCCATAAAAGTCTTCCGGGGATGTATCTCCCTCGGCAGATCGCTCATGTGTCGCGTTGCCCTAACCAAATAAACTAAATTAATTCTAACCAGCGATTATTTGTTGTGACATCGTAACAATGCCGGGCTACAACTTTTCGTCACAATGTTTTCAATTCTTTTAGTGGTTGTCATGCCCCTCTACATTATACTTCTCCTTTAACAATAGAGTCGTGCCGGTTATCTGACTCTATTTAGAGGGAAAATTTGGAATTGAAGTAACGTGACTTCCGATTTTCATTGGAATGCTCCTAAGTGTTCCATATTTGGTCTCGACTTTTATCTATCTAAGTCCTTTCTCGAGATTAAGGAAGGACAGAAAGACACACAGTGGACGACAGTCGGAATTTATAGGTCTACAATTTTGCATTCCAATAATTTTTCTATAAATGCAATATTTACTACAGTATACTTACCACGTAGTTTATACAATTTGTTGCAAAAATTTAAACACTTTATTATCACATAAAAGTGTGAGAGTCGAATTTAGGGAATAAATTGTTAAATAAATTTTTTGTTCAGGGAGGAAAAGTTTAAAGAAATAAACAACAAACCGATATAAAAAAAGAACATAAAAATCTTTTCCCACAAACTTAGTTCCTTGTCAAGTATGATACATCGAATGTGTCACCCGAAATCTCGAAAAGACTATTGGTCAATGGTGAAAAAACAGTCCTAATAAGGCAGTGGAAAAAACCCAACGAGACCCCCTTTATAAAAAGGAGGGGTCGATGCGTAAGAGTCAGACTCTAGGAGTTTGGTGCACTGTGAATCTTATGTGAACGGATTAGCCGCTACCCGGAACTAATCAATCGCCGCTGTTCGGAAGGACTACGCCTAAACCGACTAACAACGTTCGAAAGAACTTTGTGAAGTCTAGAGACTCGAGGACGAAATGACTAATCGACAATTTATAACAAGGTATTTATCCTCGCGCGAAATATGTGAGCTCTCTCTCTCTCAGGAATACGGGTAACCGAGAAGAAAATAGATATTTTAATTGAATCGATTGTATATAGCTTAATTCGAACAATAAACGGGCATTATGTATAGATTATGTAGAGTGTAATTCTTGTGATTCTCTCTACGCCTTCATCCCGGAACTAAAAGTCCACAAACGCAACCGTTCGCGTAACCAAATAAACGGCCGATAAATTTTTCCTGTGTCTGTTACAGGACATAGTGGTGTCATCATGACAGGGTGCCAAAGAGGTGCCGACTCTGCAGTCACAAAAGGAATTATTCTAAATTTTTAAAAGATTTTTTTTATTGTACTGCAATTTGAAAAAATTGTAGACCTATAATTTCCCAGTGTTATTCGTCAGTCTGTCTTTTCTTAATCTGGAGAATGGAATCAGATAGATGTAAACATATATGGAAACCTTAGGGGCAATAAGCCCCGATATTAATACTGGTATACTTGAAAAGTGATCCGTGTTGGACAGGTTGTAATGGCCTTAAGTTGTAAGTTGCTAAAAAACTTCATAAAAAATTGTTTAAAGAAGCAATTATTTATTGTGACATCATCACAATATCGGGCAGTAATTTTTAATCTTATTTTTAATATATTTAATTTAAAATATATGCATTCCGCCTCAAATTAGCAATGGCTTGCTCCTGTACAGTACAGTACAACATACTTTTCCTTTAACAATAGAGTTTTGCCGATCATGTATTAACTGCTTTCAGGGGAAAGTTTTGAACTAAAATAACGTGACTTACGGTTTGCATCGAAAGTTAGTTAATTAGTAGGTCTAGTCGTTGGCCATCCTCTCTTCCGAAAGAAGGTCAACCCCTTCCGCAACAGTCCCTTCTTTCTATCGGAGCAGTGTTATGGTAGCATACGAATAAGAAAATTACGAGGCTATTTTCGAGGATGCCGAGTTTAAATATTTGGTTCGTTTTTCGCTAAATTTGATTGGTTGGCCGGTTACAGTTTGATACTCGGCAGTGAGTGAAACAGTTTCTTAGAGTTAACATCTTCGATTTTTTTAAGATATCGTGTTTTCAATTGGTGTCTAATAGACCAATAAATTCGGCCATTTCGCACAGTATCGCATTAAACGTGGCAATGGTAGGCTGAAATTACCCAACTCTTTATATGATTTCGTTTCAATGTTCCTTATGTTATAGCATTTGATTTAGGCTATATAACTACAAAGGTTATCTTACGTAACGGTTTATCGCACCGAGTGACCAATTTAACACATTTTAAATTAAAAATTGTTGGAATAATTGGTTCATCAATAAAATATAATGCATCAAAACTGTCGCAAATGGGTACTATACCTATACTGTACAGTACAGTACATGTCTATTCCCGTATGTGTGATTCATTTGATTCAGCGACAGTCACGTCGCAGCAAAAATAAGACCGATTGAAATTTTTTAATAGCTGCGATTGTTTAGTCACACTTGTATTAGAAACAATGAGTTTTATTTTTGCGACTGGAAAATCGCGCGACAAGAAATCACAAGTGGAGGCCTAGCCTTATGTAAGATAACCTTTATAGTTATATAAATCAAATACTATAATATAATATAATAGAAAAATTAGAAGTACGAAATAATCTTAATGTTTGTTTTTATATTTTGCCCGAGAAACGTCGGCCTCATCTGCTAGCTATTTGTAAGCCAGTATAGATAATTGTTAATTTCTTGTTACTAAATGGCATATAAATAATTTCTAAACGCGAAATAAAATATAAAATAACAAAACTTACAAAAGTTATGCCTTTAATATATCAGTAACACTAGTTACATCATATTTTAAGTAACTGAACATTGCTTTATAAAAAACGATGAAAGTGACTTTTTATTCCACTTTTGCAGATGTTGATGGATTCTCGAGATCGTCTTTGGATTCAGAGATTAAACTTTGACATTTTTCTTTCGATTTCACAAAGTTATTATATTTTCGTCTGTAATTTTTTAGCTTATATTTCATTTCTAAGTTTCTGAGCTTCCGTTGAAGTTCATTACATAAATCCTTCGGCATAGTTGAAAATAATTTCAAATGTGATAATAGAACTGAACAACATTTCTTTTTCTCCTCTACTGTATCATCCGAATTTTCTGGCTGTAAACACTCGGATTTCAGATTTTCAAAATTTTTTATTAATTCGTCGTAATCCAACCCGTCTTCTCTGGGTATTGGAGTTGAACATAGAAGAGGGGGTGATGCTGGTTCAGTTAGACTCAACACATCTAATTTTCCTTCTGACTGAAGTGTAGAAACGTCAACTGAAAAGCAAATACTCCACTTTAATTGTTTGAGAATTGTTTCATATTATTATTTATATTGTTATTATTAATTTCGTTATAAATGTCTAGCTATTGTTATATTTTATTCTACTTTTGTTCTAAAATAAAATTTGAAGTATAAATAAAACAAAATCATTTGTGTTCGTTTTTATAAGAGAGAAAAAGAATGGCGATCGATAGGTTAAAATAAAATCTGGTAACAGATGGCGCTCACTCAATTTTAATTTTTTGCAGGGAAAGTTATACAACTCGTTGCTAGATTTTTATTCCTTCCAAAAAGTAGGTTTCTGGAATTTACGAGTTATTGAAGCGAGACCATCGGTGTTATCAATGCCCATTTTAACGAAGGTTAACGAAATTACTGTATATTTTACGTTCATCGTTAACTGTGTACAGTACAGTACATATACTTTAAACATGGGCATATGTCAGGACAGTTGTCCCTTCTTCTGCCACTCGTACGCACATAAACTTACATGTAAGAGATATGCATATATGTGTACAATACATAGATTATACTGTACTTAAAAGCATTTTAGCTAAAGTCGTATAGAAACTACGACACGTTCGTCTCGCTAATCCTAATTCCGTTTAATTGAAACCAACTCTGTGTTTATTCTAATGTCTCAATCAAAAATGTGGTTCCAACGTTTAGTATGCCGAAAATCATACATTAATTATATAAAAGTATACACCTAAATATAAAAAAATACATCGTTCGAACTCTGCAACGTTCGAAGTATGAGATACTGTACGCCTGTCTTTGTCATTAGTTTTTTCGATTTCTTTCGCTTTATATATAAAACTTCTAATCTAAACTAAAATTGTAAATATGATCATTATTCCATACAGCATTGCAATACCTTTACTGTATTGCTGTGTAGCAAAAGTAAAAGATATTCAGTATGATAAGAAAAAATAAGACAGAGATAGGAAGTAAATCACAATCGGAAAAATCGTTGTCCTTAATTGCAGTGAAAGTCAATAAACTGACTAATAAAAAATGTCACTAGTACACTATAACAAAAAAATTTATTAACAAAAAGAAAACGTCGCACAAAGGCATATAACAGTAAGAATTATGAAATTAAATTGTGCTGATTGAAGGTATTTAAAAAAATCAATGTTAATAAATAATTTTCTCGCATTTTATGCTGTCAGAGTTTTTCTACCAACGTCCCAGCTATTCCCCATTCAAAAGGAAGACAAGTATGTATTGTCCGTTATACAACAAAAGAAACAAAGAAAACGACAAAGAACCAAAATGGTTTTACAACTAGATTTAAGTGAACGGAAGATCGATCGAGCCAAGTAAAGTACACATGGTAATCAATCGCTCGATCACTGGCATACGAACAAGTTTTGTACAGAATAAATTATTATTAGATACTTTTACTTACAACTATCATCGTCGTCACTTAATAACATCGAGTGTGCTGTAAGGAATGCGGTATCACTATCTTCGGTCATCATTTCGGCGATTTTTCGGTCTTCAGTTTTTCCTCTCTCTGCTATTGTTATTTTGACAAGAAATGGTAGCGCTTCCTCTATTTAAAGCAATTGGTTAGTACCGACGTCACTGGTAAAGATGCGTCAAAACAGACACATTGTTTATCTTAGATTACACAACGCTGGTTTTGGGCGCCACAGTTTGAAAAGCATCGTTCTCCTGTCTGATGACCTTTCAGAAAGGTCAGAAGTCACCAGAAAGAAAAGTGAGATATAAATTTTATGATTAATGTTGCGAAATGACGAATATTTATCATTTAGTCACACATTTAAGCAAAGATTATTCATCCGATTTTTCATAGCCAAGTGACTTAGGTAAGTGACTAACGTGAACTTTTAAAAATGAGATTCGAATAACAGTTGCTCTCTTTGTCTCCTCGAAAATGCATTTTTAAAAATTGTATTTTTAAAAATATTATTAACGAGTTACGTAACTTTTCCTGCAACAGTTAAAACTAAGTGTGGCGCCGTCTGTTACGATATTTTGCTTAAAAACTTTTTATATTATTAATTATTATAAAATGACAAAAAGCTTAATTTCGAGGGTAGCGACGAGTTTTATAATTTTTGTTCTTTTTAATTTTCCAATGCTAATGACCAGGAAAATCTTCGTCAAGTCCGACTCCACTCGAGATACACACACGACTCTATATTTCCAAGCCCTTCGAACTTTAACCATCAAAATTTAACAGCATCGATCCCTCTAATATATACAAATCTCTTTGCAAAATTGCAGAAATTGTCGAGAAAATACACGAGAGTTATTAAGCTTCAAATCGGCATCAAATATATAGGAAAAAACCCATTGTTTGGCATTTCTCGACGTTTCGAGGTGCTCCGAGTCTAAAAATGTATGAATCTTGGAGGGTTATTTTTTGATCGATCGCCATACTTTCTCTGTTACATTCACTGAATTGATAAAACTGCTTGTATCGTAGAGTACACTACAGTACACTTCGTTTAGTAAACAATAGAAGAAATCCATACGTTGAAACTACTTTATATAAGAGCAAATGATCAAGTTACACTTTATTAAGTTAAAAATATTTTAATATGATATTAAAAGCACTTTAGGTAATGATGTTTATCTTATCGGATGTAATTTTATACTGTATGTCGTTATCACATCGGAAATGAAACTCCCTTCCTTCAATTTAAATATAACAACGGAATTAATCGGTTGTGTATAAAGTTAAATCGTTAATCCGGCATTTTTTTTCTGCCTACAAAACTTCTAATTTTGGCAATTTGACGTCATTAAAGCCCTTTCGAGTTAATTCTTTTTAAACTTTTGTACGAACGGAAAAATCGTCTCTTCGTCCAAATGCCTCCTTGATAGACAGATCCGATGTTTAGAGGATTCAGAAGTACCCCGTGCTCGATTAATGCTTGACCTTTGACGTCCAGAAAGACCTTAAATTTATCGAAAAATGTGGAAGACTCCGCATTTTTCTTTGTCTTCTTTGTCGAGTGGCAAGAAAAAGTGTATTTATTATCTTAGAGCTTTTATGGAACCCGAGGGTAGAAGGAGCCTCCTCTCTCCTCGGAGGGCCCCTTTGCCATACTTTTGCATTTAGATTTCTTTATTAATTAAAAAATCCTCATATATTGTAAGTAAAAATTACAATATATGAGGCTTAAATCTAAATACAAATGAATATGAGTAACTAATGTTAACCAAAACATTTTGATCTGATAAACAAAGCATTTAATAAATCAAAATATACAAGTATACAAAAGAATGAACCTAAACCTAAACTACGACTTAACCTAAACTTATTCTAAAGCTGGCACGTGAGAGACAATTCACATCAATCTATCTCTGATCATATTATCTTCACGAGGTCCTTGGAATATTTCATTGAATGAGGGTCCTCTTCAACTCTGGTTATTCTTCTTCTAACAGTTTCTTTGGAAATGTCCCTTTTATTTGCTCTCTAGTAACGTGTACAAAACTCATGCGACTGATCATGACTGGGCATGGGAAAGGAAATCAACTTCTTTTCAAAATCGAAAGTTTCTTCCGCATTTTTTGTAATTATGTTTATAAGAAAATAATCAGTTTTCAATGCGGAGAGATGGCGTGATCCTAATACTGCTTTTAGAAAATTGCTAAGAATAATATCGATTTTGTTAATGACGGTCTATAGCAATAACTATAATGCACTACCTGTACAGCACTTTGATTATTACATGCTTTGAGTCATTCACATTCTTTAAAAGTTTTAAAATTTACCGTCCAAAATGATAAATACAGTAAAACCTCGATTATCCGGACAAATTGGGGATGAAGGTAGTCCGGATAAGGAAAAATCCGGATAATCGAAACAAACATTTTAATTTGTCTTTTAATGATAATACAATACGTTTTTTTTTTTTTCGATGACATATCGGTAATATTAAAAGTAAATACTGTATTTAAATAGTGATCAAATTTTCAAGAAACAAACGTTCGTATTCAATTTGGACTAATACTGACCAACGCTAACAGGAAACAAAAAGAAATCTTAATTTTATTCTTTTGACGCAACCATTCAGTATTAATTTATTAATTCTTCATGGAATATTCTAATTTGGATGCAATTCGTCCTTATCTGAACGTTTTACGCGTCGTTGGTGTATTTATACCCAAGCGCCAGGATTATTTATGGGTTAAAGCGCTTCTATTTGATACATACTTTATAACAATAATTTCTATTTTCGTCTTTTATCCGGATCAATTATCAAAGATTTTTATAAATTTGCATATTGATGATTTTTGTGGCATTCCCGTTTTATGGGATATCTACGGAACGCATTTACGCTTCGCATTATTCGGTGCACTTTTAATGTCCGTTTCATTTATTTACCTGCTTAATACAAATGCATTTCACATAATAAAGGCGATCAAAATCCTGGACAAAAACGTAAAATGCGCAAAGAAAATTCACCAAAAATTATTGCTTTATCAAGACGCGATTTTACTTTATTTCAGCCTTGTCTATTGCGCGTTTGTTAGTTGGTACTTTGTACGTGTATTACAGGAACGTTTACAAATACTCAAAATTACTGTGGCAAGAAAGTTTCTGTACCTTTCATGTTTTATTTGGCGTTTTTATCAACGTCAGCGTAAGTTGTTTTAGAGGGGGGATTCATTTTGATTCTTACTTACATCTCTATTCAATTGTAGACACATTTATTATATACATAAAGGAAAAAATACAAAGGGACGAAGTAGATAGCAAAACATCGCTACTGGAACTGTCGTCGATTGTATATTTTATTAAAAGTATCGATAAAATATGCAAAACTGTTCACGTTTTGATGATAACAGTTTTCCTTCCCATAATGAGCATCGTAAGTATATATGTGGTACTTTACGTATCGTTTACAATAGAATATCTGTTGACATGCTTTATAATCTTTTCGACGTGGATTGCTTTTAAAATATGTTTTCTTTACTTGACAAGAATTCCTCCGAACGTAAGTTACTTTTATTTTATAGAAATTTTATAAATTGTATGTCTCCTATCCACGTGAATTGTTTAAGAAAAATTATGTAATTAATACATTTCAGATGGAACGGTTTTTCACTTGCATAATGGATATTTATTTCCGCGACGATGACAATAAAAAAAATTGTAAATAATCTTTCATAATTTATAAATTAACTTTTTTCGTCGACTTGCATGATGTTTGAATTTTATTATATTTTAAGTCAAAACTCGCGTAACGACAGTACAATGAAATTTGTTTTCTTTGTTTTCAGACGGAAGTATTAATGTCCATAGCGATTGCCGAAGTGGTATTCAGAAGCAACAACTTCTTTTTCTTCGACAAGCAAACGGTTTGAAATGTAAGTTTAATATATCACATATTATATTATAACAACGTATAGATTGCTTTTATTATTATTATTATTGTTATTATTATTATTATTATTATTATTATTATTATATACTAGCTGCAAGGACCCGCTTCGCTGGGTTTTTATTTGTGGGCAAAAAGTAACGATAGTGAAGATTAAGATAATTACATTATAGCGAATCTTACCCGTTTTCACAGACTGCATGAATTAGGTTTTCCGTTTACAGACTAATTAGAGAACTTTTACGTCCAGTCACACGAACTATTTTCAATTTGATCAATTTTCTGGAACGTTTACAATCGTTCTATAATCGAACCAATTCGAATTCGAACAAATTTGAAAAAATTCGAACAAAACATTCGAAATAGAAAACCACTTTTAACCACTTTCAGCCCCATATCTCCCGCACCCTTATAGCTATCGAGACGCTACCACCATAGTGCACGAATGGAGACTTGCGGCTACCAACACATACAAACAGCATTCATGTGCAATGTGTAGTTTTGGCGGAAAAGTGAAATAAAATATAGGGACACACACGTCCATTTTTATATATAGATATAGATATAGATATTGTAATATATATACAAGCATTTTTATATAAAAAATCGTATATTTTGTTTCAGTATACTGTGGAATTCATCACACAATTAATTAGATTTATTATAACAAGTAGAAAATCTATTATAAATTAATACGTATCTTACCGAATATTTTACTGATTTTGTTGACTTCGTAAACAAAAATTATGTTTGATGCCAAGTGTATGCAATTGTATTAAATCAAGTAATATAATTTAACATAATATAATAGAAAGTTTAGAAGTACGAAATAATTTTAATGTTTGTTTTTATATTTTGCCCGAGGAACGTCGACCTAATCTGCTAGCTATTTAATAAGCCAGTATAGATAATTGTTCATTTCTTGTTACTAAATGGCATATAAATAATTTCTAAGCACGAAATAAAATACAAAATAACAAAACTTATAAAAGTTATACCTTTAATATATCAGTAACACTAGTTACAACATATTTTAAGTAACTGAACATTGCTTTATAAAGAACGATGAAAGTGACTTTTTATTCCACTTTTGCAGATGTTGATGGATTCTCGAGATCGTCTTTGGATTCAGAGATTACACTTTGACGTCTTTCTTTCGATTTCACAAAGTTATTATATTTTCGTCTGTAATTTTTCAACTTATATTTCATTTCTAAGTTTCTGAGCTTGCGTTGGAGTTCATGACATAAATCCATCGGCATAGTTGAAAATAATTTTAAATGTGATAATAGAACCGAACAACGTTTCTTTTTCTCCTCTACTGTATCATCCGAATTTTCTGGGTGTAAACACTCGGATTTCAGATCTTCAAAATTTTGTATGACTTCGTCGAAATCCAACCCGTCTTCTCTGGGTATTGGGGTTGAACATAGAGTAGGAGGTGATGCTGGTTCAGTTAGACTCAACACTTCCAATTTTCCTTCTGACTGAAGTATAGAAACGTCAACTGAAAAGCAAATACTCCACTTTAATTGTTTGAAAATTGTTTCATATTATTATTTATATTGTTATTATTAATTTTGCTATAAATTTCTAGCCATTGTTATATTTTATTCTACTTTTGTTCTAAAATAAAATTTGAAGTATAAATAAATAAAATCATTTGTGTTAGTTTTTTTTAACAGAGGGAAAAAATGGCGATCGATCGATTAAAATTAAATCTTGTAACAGATGGCGCACGCTCAATTTTAATTTTTTGCTGGGAAAGTTATACAATTCGTTGCTAGATTTTTCTTCCTTCTAAAAGTAGGTATCTGGAATTTACGAGTTATTCAAACGAGACCATCGGTGTTATTAATATCCATTTTAACGAAGGTTAACGAAATTACTGTATATTTTAAGTTCATCGTTAACTGTGTACAGTACAGTGCGTATGCTTTAAACATGGGCATATGTCAGGACAGTTGTCCCTTCTTCTGCCACTCGTACGCAAACTTACATGTAAGAAATATGTATATATGTGTACAACACATAGATTATACTGTTCTTAAAAGCATTTTAGCTAAAGTCGTATAGAAACTATTACACGTTCGTCTCGCTAATCCGAACTACGCTTAATTGAAACCAACTCTGTGTTTATTTTAATGTCTCAATCAAAAATGTGGTTCGAACATTTAGTATGCCGAAAATCATACATTAATTAAATAAAAGTATACACCTAAACATAAAAAATACATCGTTCGAACTCTGCAACGTTCGAAGAATGAGATACTGTACGCCTGTCTTTGTCATTACTTTTTTCGATTTCTTTCGCTTTATATATAACTTCTAATCTAAACTGAAATTGTAAAATAGATGATTTTTCCATACAGCATTGCAATACTTTCCCTGTATTGCTGTGTAGCAAAAGTAAAAGATATTCAGTATAATAAGAAAAAATATGACAGAGAGAAGAAGTAAATCACAACCGAAAAAATCATTGTCCTTAATTGCAGTGAAAATCAATACACTGACTAATAGAAAATGTCACTAGTACACTATAACAAAAGAAATTATTAACAAAGAGAAAACGTCGCACAAAGGCATATAACAGGAAGAATTATGAAATTAAATTGTGCTTATTGAAGGTATTTAAAAAAATCAATGTTAATGAATAATTTTCTCGCATTTTATGCTGTCAGAGTTTTTCTACCAACGTCTCAGCTATTCCCTATTCAAAAGGTTGACAAGAATGTATTGTCCCTTATACAATTAAAAGAATCAAAGAAAACGAGAACGAATCAGAATTGTTTTACCACTAGATTTAAGTTAACGGAAGATCGATCGAGCCAAGTAAAGTACACATGATGATCAATCGCTCGATCACTGGCATACGAACAAGTTTTGTACAGAATAAATTATTATTAGATACTTTTACTTACAACTTTCATCGTCGTCACTTAATAACATCGAGTGTGCTGTAAGGAATGCGGTATCACTTTCTTCGGTCATCATTTCGGCGATTTTTCGATCTTCAGTTTTTTCTTCTCTCTTCTATTGTTATTTTGACAAGAAACGGTAGCGTTTCCTCTATTTAAAGCAATTGGTTAGTACCGACGTCACTGGTAAAGATGCGTCAAAAAATGACACATTGTTTACCTTAGATTACACAACGCTGGTTTTGCGGGCCACAGTTTGAATAGCATCGTTCCCCTGTCTGATGACCTTTCAAAAAGGTCAGAATTCACCAGAAAAAAAATGTGAAGTATAAATTTTATGATTGATGTTGCGAAATGACGAATATTTATCATTTAGTCACATATTTAAGCAAAGATTATTCATCCGATTGTTCATAGCCAAGTGACTTAGGTAAGTGACTAACGTAAACTTTTAAAATTGAGATTCGAATAACAGTTGCTCTCTTTGTCTCCTCAAAAATGCATTTTTTTTAAATTGTATTTTTAAAAAAATTTAGTAACAAGTTGCGTAACTTTCCGGCAACAGTTAAAACTGAGTGTGGCGTATTTTGCTTAAAAACTTTTTATATTATTAATTATTATAAAATGACAAAAAGCTTAATTTCGAGGGTAGCGACGAGTTTTATTATTTTTGTTCTTTTTAATTTTCCAATGCTAATAACGAGTAAAATTTTCGTCAAGTCCGACTCCACTCGAGATACACACACGACTCTATATTTCCAAGCCCTTCGAACTTTAACCATCAAAATTTAACAGCATCGATTCCTCTAATATATACAAATCTTTCTGCAAAATTGCAGAAATTGTCGACAAAAGACACGAGAGTTATTAAGCTTCAAAGCGGCATCAAATATACAGGAAAAAACCCATTGTTTGGCATTTCTCGACGTTTCGAGGTGCTCCGAGTCTAAAAATGTAAAAGTCTTGGAGGATTATTTTTTGATCGATCGCCATAGTTTCTCTGTTACATTAACTGATTTGATAAAACTGCTTGTATAGTACAGTACACTACAGTACACTTCGTTTAGTAAACAATAGAAGAAATCCATACGTTGAAACTACTATATATAAGAGCAAATGGTCAAATTACACTTTATTAAGTTAAAAATATTTTAATGTGATATTAAAAGCATTTTAGGTAATGATGTTTACCATAGCGGATGTAATTTTGTACTGTATGTCATTATCACACCGGAAATGAAACTCCCTTCTTTCAATTTAAATATAACAAACGGAAGAAATCGGTTGTGTATAAAATTAAATCGTTAATACGGCATTTCTTCTCTTTTCTGCCTACAATTTTATGTCATTAAAGCCTTTTCGTGTTAATTATTTTTAAACTTTTGTACGAACGGAAAAATCGTCCCAATGCCTCTTTGATAGACAGATCCGGTGTTTAGAGGACTCAGAAGGACTCCGTGCTCGATTAATGCTTGATCTTTGACGTCCAGAAAGGCCTTGAATTTATCGAAAAATGTGGAGTCTACTTTGTCGAGTGGCAAGAAAAAGTATATTTATTATCCGAGAGCTTTTATGGAACCCGCGGGTAGAAGGAGCCTCCTCTCTCCTCGGAGGGCCCCTTTTTCATATTTTTGCATTTAGATTTCTTTATTAATTAAAAAAGGTCTTTAAATATTTTTCGTTTGTAAAAATTACAATATATGAGGCTTTAAAAATAGAGTTTATAGGTTAAGGAAATCTAAATACAAATCAATATGAATAACTAATATTAACCAAAACATTTTTATATGATAAACAAAACATTTAATAAATCAAAATACAGTGGTACCTCAGGATACGAAATTAATCCGTTCCGAAACTGAGATCGTATCGTGAAAATGTCGTAAGGTAAGTCATTTTTCCCCATACGATTACATGTAAAACCAAATAATTCGTTTCAACACTCAAATTAAAGCTAAGTAGTACAGTACATTAAAACAAAATAACTATAGTAAGGAAAACACTGAAAAATGCATTTTGTAATCGTAAATGTATAAATAACCATAATAGAATAATAATTGATAAAAAAAATGTAGTTTTATTTGCACTTTACCTTTGAGGATAGACGACGGTGGAGGTGTAAACTGGTGGCGGAAGAGAGGGAGAAACTTAACTACTAAAACTTAACGTATATAACATAATGTAACAATAACTTAAAAATATCTTAGAAAAGATTTTAAAAAAAAGTTATTGTAGTTTTATATATATTTTTTTTTTAATTTTTATTCACTGATTTTTGCTTTCTTTCCTTCACTTCCACCAGCACTTTCACTGGATAGAGGTCGCTTAGTAAAATATCTATCCAAAGATGTTTGGCTTTGCCTACTTTTTAAAATGTTTCTTAGGCAAATGTCATTACTCCGTGCAGCAATAAGGCCAGTGTGAACGTTTTCGGGATGTTTCTTTTCAATAAAATCAGTCACTTTCTGATAATACCTCAAGATTTCCTTTATCGAGCGAGATCCTTCCACGACGAAGAAAACGCGCAGACTGAGACCAATGAACAGAGGTGAATAAAAATGGCGCTGCGAACTAATGTAACGTCGTATGGTGAGTTTTTGTTCGTATTGTGGAGCAAAAATATGTTCGAATTTCATGTCGTATCTTGAAAATTTCGGATGTTGGGACATTCGTATCCTGAGGTACTGTACCACTGTATAAAAGTATACAAAAGAATGAACCTAAACTTAAACCTGAACTACGACTTAACCTAAACTTATTCTAAACCTGACACATGAGAGAGAGAGTTCACATCTATCTATCTCTGATCATATTACCTTCACCAGGTCTTTTGAATATTTCTCTGAATGAAAGTCCTCTTCTACTCTGGGTATTCTTCTTCTAACATTTTATTGTTATATATTAATAACTTTCATTTAACTGATTCGTATAACGGGCATGTATGACGTACACTTTGTACGACGATTGACTTTATCTTAAGGCAACCTCTTTTTGACGAACTGCCCCGAATAGGGGGAAAACGTCCCTTTTATTTGCTCTCTAGTAACGTGTACAAAACTCATGCCACTCATCATAAGCGGGCCTGGGAAAGGAAATCAACTTCCTTTCAAAATCGAAAGTATTATCCGTTTTTTGTAATTATGTTTATAAAAAAATAATCAGTTTTCAATGCGGAGAGATGGCGTGATCCTAATACTGCTTTTAGAAAATTGCTAAGGATAATATCGATTTTGTTAATGACGGTCTATAGCAATAACTATAATGCACAACCTGTACAGCACTTTAATTATTACATACTTTTAGTCATTCACATTCAATAAGGTTTTAAAATTTACTGTCCAAAATGATAAATATAACCTAATGCTTTGGATTCTGATAAAACCGTGTTGTCGTTTACAAAATCAAATGAAATTATTCGTATAGAAACGGCAGTTAGCATCGAAAAAAAAAATATGTGTACAGTTCAATATCAAGACAGAAAATACAGAGAGAAAATACAAAATGAGATAGACAGACTGTTAGCCAACTGAATAAAAAGATGAATAATCTGCCAAGTGTTTGAAACAAGTCACTTTATTGTGTCTGTATGAAGCAATAACTTAATGCATTTTGAAATTAGACTACCATTTAATTTCCATTATGTCAATCAATATTCGCATATTTCTATCGTAGCTAATGAAATTAAACAGGAAGCAAGGGAATACGTATTAACTTCACGTGGATAATAAACACGTAGAACATCGACGAAACGAAGAGAAATTTTAATTTTATTCTTTTGAGGCTACCATTCAGTATTAATTATTCATGGAATATTATATTTTGGATGCAATTCGTCCTTATCTGAACGTTTTACGCGTCGTTGGTGTATTTATTCCCAAGCGCCAGGATTATTTATGGGTTAAAGCGCTTCTATTTGATACATACTTTATAACAATAATTTCTATTTTCGTCATTTATCCGGATTATTTATCAAAGCTTTTTATAAATTTGCATATTGACGAATTCTGTGGCATTCCCGTTTTATGGAATATCTACGGAACGCATTTACGCTTCGCATTATTCGGTGCACTTTTACAGTCCGTTTCATTTATTTACCTGCTTAATACAAATGCATTTCACATAATAAAGGCGATCAAAATCTTGGACGAAAAGGTAAAATGCGCAAAGAAAATTCAGCAAAAATTATTGCATTATCAAGACGTGATTGTAATGTATTTGAGCTTTGTCCATGTATTTGCGTGTTTGTTATTTGGCACTTTGTACGTGTATTACAGGAACGCTAACGGTTACTCAAAATTACTGTGGCAAGAAAGTTTCTGTACCTTTCATGTTTTATTTGGCGTTTTTACCAACGTCAGCGTCATTTGTTATAGCACGGGTTTCCTTTGGATTGTTACTTACATTTCTATTCAATTGTTAGACACATTTATTATAGACATAAAGGAAAAAATACAAAGAAAAGAAGTTAATAGCAAGACATCGATACTGGAACTGTCATCGATTGTATATTTTATTAAAAGCATCGATAAAATATGCAAAACTTTTCATGTTTTGATGATAACAGTTTTCATTCCCATAATCAGCATCGTAATTATATATATGGTACTTTACGTAACGATTACAATCGATTCTCTGTTGATATGCTTTTCAATATTTTGGATATGAACTGTTACAGTAATATATTTTCTTTCCTTGACAAGAATTCCTTCGAACGTAAGATACTTTCATTTTACAGAAATTCTGTAAATTGTATGTCTCCTAACCACATGAATTGTTTAAGAAGAATTATGTAATTAATACATTTCAGATGAAACGGTTTTTCACTTGCATAATGGATATTTATTTCCACTACGATGACAATAAAAAAATCGTAAATATTTTTTCATAATTTATAAATTAACTTTTTTCGTCGACTTGCATGAAAATATGTTTGAATTTTATTATATTTTAAATCAAAACTCGCGTAACGACGGTACAATGAAATTTGTTTTCTTTGTTTTCAGACGGAAGTATTAATGTCCATAGCGAGCGCCGAAGTGGGATTCAGAAGCAACAATTTCTTTTTCTTCGACAAGCAAACGGTTTTAAATGTAAGTTTATATATCATATATTATATTGTAACAACGTATAGATTGTTTCTACTATTATTATTATTTATATAAATATATTGTAACATGTATACAAGCATTTTTATATAAAAATCATGTATTTTGTTTCAGTATACTGTCGAATTCATCACACAATTAATTTCATTTTTGATAATAAGAAGTAAATCTATTATAAATTAATACGTATCCCACCGAATGTTTCACTGATTTGTGACTTCGTAAACGAAAAATTCTGTTCGATGCTCATTGCCAATCTCAATTAATATTGGAGATTTTGAAATTAGACGTGACGTTTATATTGTCAAATCTACGGTGACGTTACGTCTTATTATTCGATACGTGTATCTCGAGAGAGTTGGTGCTGGAGTAGGTTTTCGCCGGATTTGATCTACTGCAACGAAATTCAAACGTTAAGTTGATTTTAAGAAAGTTGTTCGTTAATTATTTTGGATTCACCGAAATGCAAAGATGCATTTTACTATCAAAGAAGAAACGGGAGTGTACTTATGTGTTATGACAACGCAATTGTTTCGTGTATTTAGAATCCACTCTAACTTCACACAAGAAGAACAATGCTCAGTTATAGAATTGTCAAATTTCTATATTTTTTCATTTCAAATTTCTATATTTTTTCGAAATTTCAAAATTGTAACAAAGTGAAAGTCGAACTCTACTTATCGCACTTTTGTTCTCGGAAGCAAAATGTACAAGATCCACGTATCATCATTGTGAATTGTATGATACACAGGATGATAAATAGATAAAGATTATACTACTTTAATTAAAGAAGATCCTTGTACCTTGGGACACCTTGTACTTTGGGACAAGCTCGTCATTTGAAAAATAATACATTGAGTAGTAGTAAGTAGCGATATCTAGTAGCTATTTCATTACAACATTCAGAATGCATGGTAAAGTCGGCCATTTTGACTCGTTTTACCGCTGTGATACGTCGTGTGATTTTTATAGGTGTTTGTTTTTTACAATCCATTTAGATCTTGGTTTTAATCGAAATATTTTCAGGTGAATAATTTAATTAAGGTACAGTTAGTTGATAATTACATTCGTAACTACTTATTTTAATAAATAACATTGGATTTCTGTAATTCAAAAATTATAACCATACTTTGTTATAAACGAGAGAAAATTGTACCTTAAGACAATGGATTTTTTATACCTTGGTACAGTCCCAAGACACAAGGCATTGCTTCTCTCAACTATTTATTTAATATTATTTTTACTTTTGTTATTATGTTTCTGTTGGCCGCGAAAAAAAATGAAGTGAATAAAAATGCTAAATCTGTTAAAAAGCGAGTTTTTAAGAAGAAAAAAGTTGAAGTCAGTAGCTATGAGGATGTAACTTCTGCGATCTTAGAGAGTGGCGATTCATGTGATGAAGTTCAAGAGGAAAATAATTGTGTGGGGTGCGATGAAAATTATTTTACTACTTCGAACACAGAAGGCTGGATTCAATGAGTTACCTTTCGATTCTGGGTGCACGAAGATTGCACCTTTTTTGAAAATTACTGTCAGAAATGCGATATTAATTGAAAAAAAATTAGTAAGTAGTAATGTTTGTGACCGATATTTGTAATAACTATTGTTTTTCTTAAAACAAAAATAAGATTATCTTTAGTTTTCAATAATTTAAATGCCTTCTATAGAACAATTAAGCATTATACTTACCTGCATTTCCAGCATATGAAACATTTTTGTTAACTGATAAAGCTAATATTGTTATAAAGGGAGCGACTTGGAAAAACGATGTTTTCTTCATCAGGCGGAAGTTAAGATTTACAAAAACGTTAGAATTGGTTTAAAGATACAAACATTGGTGTCCCGATATACAATAATGGATTGTACCTAAAGACAAATATCTGTAAGTAATTATTTGACATTTTCTCATAAATTAAATAGCATAGGGTCACGTGTTTCGCCATAAATAGTGATGTTATCAATTACTAATAGAAATATTCAACAGTCATAGCTAAAAATCAATTTGAACTTAAATTATGAAAGTTTAAAAAAAAGTGTTCCAAAGCACAAGGATCGCCCCTATATATTGTTGTGAATAATCGGTCCATTATTAACATATAATGACCAGAACAAGACTGTATACTGCATCAAAACTGTCGCAAGTGGGTACTAAACATGTCAATTCCCGTCTGTGTGATTTATTTTTTCAGCGACAGTCGCGTCGCAGCGAAAATAAGACCGATTGCAATTTTTTAATAGCTGCAATTACTTAGTCGCGAGTGTATGCACTTGTATTAAATCAAATAATATAATATAATATAATATAATAGAAAGGTTAGAAGCACGAAATAATCTTAATGTTTGTTTTTATATTTTGCCCGACAAACGTCGGCCTCATCTGCTACCTATTTAATAAGCCAGTATAGATAATTGTTCATTTCTTGTTACTAAATGGCATATAAATAATTTCTAAGCACGAAATAAAATATAAAATAACAAAACTTACAAAAGTTATACCTTTAATATATCAGTAACACTAGTTACAACATATCTTAAATAGCCGAACATTGCCTCATAAAGAACGATAAAAGTGACTTTTTATTCCACTTTTGCAGATGTTGATGGATTCTCGAGATCGTCTTTGGATTCAGAGATTAAAGTTTGACGTCTTTCTTTCGATTTCACAAAGTTATTATATTTTCGTCTGTAATTTTTCAACTTAAATTTCATTTCTAAGTTTCTGAGCTTGCGTTGGAGTTCATTACATAAATCCTTCGGCATAGTTGAAAGTAATTTCAAATGTGATAATAGAACAGAACAATGTTTCTTTTTCTCCACTTCTGTATCATCCGAATTTTCTGGGTGTAAACACTCGGATTTCAGATCTTCAAAATTTTGTATGAGTTCGTCGAAATCCAACCCGTCTTCTCTGGGTAATGCGGTTGAACAAAGAGTAGGAGGTGATGCTGGTTCAGTTAGACTCAACACTTCCAATTTTCCTTCTGACTGAAGTATAGAAACGTCAACTGAAAAGCAAATACTCCACTTTAATTGTTTGAAAATTGTTTCATATTATTATTTATATTGTTATTATTAATTTTGCTATAAATTTCTAGCCATTGTTATATTTTATTCTACTTTTGTTCTAAAATAAAATTTAAAGTATAAATAAATAAAATCATTTGTGTTAGTTTTTTTAACAGAGGGAAAAAATGGCGATCGATCGATTAAAATAAAATCTTGTAACAGATGGCGCATGCTCAATTTTAATTTTTGCTGAGAAAGTTATACAACTCGTTATTAGATTTTTATTCCTTCCAAAAAGTAGGTTTCTGGAATTTACGAGTTATTGAAGCGAGACCATCGGTGTTATCAATGTCCATTTTAACGAAGGTTAACGAAATTACTGTATATTTTAAGTTCACCGTTAACTGTGTACGGTACAGTGCAAATGCTTTAAACATGGGCATATATGAGGACAATTATCTGTTCTTCTGCCACTCGTACGCACATGAACTTACATGTAAGAGATATGTATATATGTGTACAACACATAGAGTATACTGTAGTTAAAAGCGTTTTCGCTGAAGTCGTATAGGAAGTATTACACGTTCGTCTCGCTAATTCTAACTCCGTTTAATTGAAACCAACTTTGTGTTTATTCTAATGTCTCGATCGAAAATTTGGTCGGAACACTTATTATGCCGAAAATCATACATTAATTATATAAAAGTATACACCTAAATATAAAAAATACATCGTTCAAACTCTGGAACGTTTGAAGTATGATATACTGTACGCCTGTCTTTGTCATTAGTTGTTTCGATTTCTTTTGCTTTATATATAACTTCTAATCTAAACTGAAATTGTAAAATAGATGATTTTTCCACACAGCATTGCAATACCTTCATCACTGTATTGCTGCGTAGCAAAAGTAAAAGATATTCAGTATGATAAAGAAATAAGACAGAGATCAATAAACTGATTATAGAAAATGTCACTAGTACACTATAACAAAAAAAAAATTATTAACAAAAGGAAATGTCGCACAAAGACATATAACAAGAAAAATTATAAAATTAAATTCTGCTTATTAAAGGTATTTAACAGAAGCGTTGCGCAATATCAATGTTAATAAATAATTTTCTCGCATTTTATGCTGTCAGAGTCTTTCTACCAACGTCTCAGCTATTCCCGATTCAAAAGGTTGGCAAATATGCATTGTCCCTTATACAATAAAAACAAACAAAGAAAACGATAACAAATAGGAATTTAATCGATCATAAATAAAATGTTATAACTACATTTAAGTAAACGAAAGATCGATCGAGCCAAGTAAAGTACACATGGTGATCAATCGTTCGATCACTGGCATACGAACAAGTTTTGTACAGAATAAATTATTATTTGATACTTTTACTTTCAACTTTCATCGTCGTCACTTAATAACATCGAGTGTGCTGTAAGGAATGCGGTATCACTTTCTTCGGTCATCATTTCGGCGATTTTCCGATCTTCAGTTTTTTCCTCTCTCTGCTATTGTTATTTTGACAAGAAATGCTTCCTCTAAATCGCTTTCTCTATTTAAAGCAGTTGGTTAGTACCGACATCACTGGTAAAGATACGTCAAAGAATAACACATTGTTTATCTTAGATTACACAACGCTGGTTTTGCGGGTCACAGTTTGAATAGCATCGTTCTCCTGTCTGATGACCTTTTAGAAAGGTCAGAAGTCACTAGAAAGAAAATGTGAAGTATAAAATTTTTTATTGACGTTGCGAAATGACGAATATTTATCATTTAGTCACACATTTAAGCAAAGATTATTCATCCGATTTTTCATAGCCAAGTGACTTAGGTAAGTGACTAACGTGAACTTTTAAAAGTGAGATTCGAATAACAGTTGCTCTTTTTGTCTCCTCAAAAATGCATTTTTTTAAATTGCATTTTTAAAAAAATTTAGTGACGAGTTGCGTAACTTTTCCGGCAACAGTTAAAACTGAATGTGACGTATTTTGCTTAAAAACTTTTTATATTATTAATTATTATAAAATGACAAAAAGCTTAATTTCGAGGGTAGCGACGAGTTTTATTATTTTTGTTCTTTTTAATTTTCCAATGCTAATAACGAGTAAAATTTTCGTCAAGTCCGACTCCACTCGAGATACACACACGACTCTATCTTTCCAAGCCCTTCGAACTTTAACCATCAAAATTTAACAGCATCGATCCCTCTAATATATACAAATCTCTCTGCAAAATTGCAGAAATTGTCGACAAAAGACACGAGAGTTATTAAACTTCAAAGCGCCATCAAATATACAGAAAAAACCATATTGTTTGGCATTTCTCGAGGTTTCGAGGTGCTCCGAGTCTAAAAATGTAAAAGTCTTGGAGGGTTATTTTTTGATCGATCGCCATACTTTCTCTGTTACATTCACTGAATTGATAAAACTGCTTGTATTGTAGAGTACACTACAGTACACTTCGTTTAGTAAACAATAGAAGAAATCCATACGTTGACACTACTTTATATTAGAGCAAATGGTCAAATTACACTTTATTAAGTTAAAAATGTTTTAATATGATATTCAAAGCATTTTAGGTAATGATGTTTACTAGTGTTGTAACGAATAGTATATTCGGCTTGAGGCCGAATACCGAATATTCGGCTATTCGGCCAAACTATTCGGCTTGATTAACGCACGTACGAAAATTGGCGCGCAAATTGCATTATAGCAAAGATCCTGCTCTCTATTGGCCCGCTGTCACTACGCTTCGCCAATCGCGTTAATTCTAAGCAGTTGTAGCGGACAGACAAGAGCTTCACGGCAGTATGTGATAAATGATGATATCAAATGTGGATAACAACGAAATGATCTACACGTGTATATAACGGAAAAAGAAGAGAGAAGGATTGCGAAGTGAAAATGTGAAAATAAATATGAAATTGAGTTAACATAATCGAACAATTCGAGGCAGCTTATTGGCGCGAAATTCGCGGCGTCAATGCCATACAATTGTTGTCATAGACTTCGGAAAGCTAAACGCTTGTAATGAAAGTCATTTATCGTGCACGGGCGAAAGCCTGGGGCCGTTCGGGCTACCAAGCTGTCTGGAATCTGTGAAATCATAACCGTGACTTATATCGACGTTCTATTTGTCTCTTTTTTCCGTTATCACCAGGCTATGAGTCACGTAATTGTAAAATGGAAACTCTACGACGGAAAAGTGACGAATCGAAAGTATCGTGAGCGTGTATTATGATGTATGCACAGGCATACGTGGATTAGAGCGATAGAGGAAAGAGAAAGGGAAGAGAAAAGACGAGCGCTTAAAAAAAAGGATAGGCAGGGTCAGACCCTCAGATGTGCGAGGATTCTCCAACGATAGACGTGTACAGTACTGTACGTGTGCTGATCTTTGTAATTACAAATTGTGAATACATGTGACTAATATTATTTTCTTTTTTATTTTGTGCATGTTACAAGTTATAAATAAATATAAACAAACAACACTAACTCGATAAAATTAAATCTAAATACCAAAACGATTAATTTACTGTGTTTTTGTTATTTATTACCCCTGTTTTTAGGTATTCGATATTCGGCCGAATAGTGAAAAATAGGCCGAATAGGCCGAATACCGAATAAGAACCGAATATTCGTTACATCACTAATGTTTACCATAGCAGATGTAATTTTTGTACTGTATGTCATTACTCCCTTCTTTCAATTT